TGGTGCCGTGCGTGTAGGGAGTGTGCCGCGTATATAAAAGTGGTCAATGGGTTTGGCCGATAGGAGTCAATGGTATATGGGAGAGATATTTTCACTTTAGAAGGATAGCTGAACAGAGGTCGAAAGAAAAAAAAGAAGACGGCATCAACCAGAAAAAGGGGGCGACTGGTTAAAAAAGACACCGAGCAGACACGCTCAAGCGGGCGTCTAGTCAATACGTAGATCAAAATCCAGCGCGAGGGCGTGCATGTCTCACCCTTTGCCCACTTTTACAGGCACGACGGGAGGTTTGGACGAGGCAGATTGGCGCACGAGGTCTGTGCCACGAACCTACGCGCTCAGATGGGCAACGAGACTTCCATGCCGAGTCGGGGCGCGCAGATGTTTGCAGGCCAAACTTTAACGTTAGAGTGCGCACCTGAAACAGATGGACGCACTGCTCCACGAGGGCCGTGATGCCGTTGCTGCGTTGCTGGTCATGATGTCTTGGGGTGGAGTTTGGCGTTATTAAGGGCAATGGCAGCAGAAACCCGGAAATAACCCCTCGCCACATGCAACTATTTACAGAAAGTCAGTCTTCTCATGCCCACTAGTTATACTTTTGCATCTATCATCTATTGTTTGTGATCGAGGTATCAAGCAGAGTCTAATATACCCGCCCGCCAGCAGTTACACAAAATAGTCTCTTCAATGCTACCATACAACGGCTCATGCGTCTACATTGCTCTGTGAAAAAATCATGTCGTCGTTCAATCATTCGACCACGCCGAGTCGCAACTTGTTCAGCGCATCCTCATACTTGGCCGGGCTGTGGTCTGTCAACAATCCCGCTCCGAACCTTATTTCGTCAAACCGCCCTTCCACATCCCGTATGTACTTGAGCACCACTCTCCTCGCCGGTCTCCCAATCGGACCTTCCTCCTGCTTCACAAATGCATCGCGTCGGAGCACCCTGGTCGTCTCAATGGCAAACACCTCGCCCGGCGGCACCAATTTCTTGCCCTTCATCGTGCCTCGCAGTGCCTGAAGCATGGGCAATACCCATTCTTCATCGCCCTCTTTGGGCGCCGCTGGTGTGGTCTGGTACCACTTGTCAGAGAGATGCTCTTGAAAAGCCTGCCACATCCTACTTCGGATCTCGGCTTTAGTCTGATTCTCGTCCTTTTTGAACGCAAGCGCCAGACCTTGGAAGTCGTGAAGTACACCGAGGGATAGATGAGGTACAATGTCGTTGCCATGCACGACGGTTGTGATGAGCCCACGCGTAATTTTGCGCAGGGACGGGGACAGTATGCCTGGTGGTCCATACGCATATACGTGGATCCGCCGAGACTGCGGGAGGCGAACGTCGCTGAACTTGTGCCCTGTTCCAAGCCCCTGTGTAAGGAGTTTTGAGTACGGTTCGGCGGAGATGACGAAGCCCGGACCGTCGGGGTTGGGTTCCGAAAGCATGACGCCGAGAAGGGAGGTGACTCCTCCCCCTAGAGAATGGCCACATAGCACGAGACCGTAATCCGGAAACTCCAGCAGTGCTTCTTTCAGCGTGACGAGAACCCGGCCATCGTCTCCGAATAAGAGTCTTCTAGCAGAGGCGTGCACGCCCTTGTGCACTCTGTACGCTCGTCCTCTCCATAGCAAGTTGTCGTAGTCACATGTCAAGTCGGCAAGGACATCCTCGAACCCCAACGTTCCTCGGCATGCTAGGACTACGGCTTTTGCCTCATGGTCGAGTGAGATGTAATGTACCAACGGCACACCGGTACCCGTGGAACCTGTGGCATCAGAACCTCCCTGTGGATCTACAAACGAAGCAAGGAGTATGTTGCTATCCTCAGATTCAGTGTGGTGTACAAAGTGTCGGACGTCTTGGTGGGTTCTGTCGCCCATTTGGCTAGCGGGAAGTTCGTTTGAGATACCAAGAAGTTTCATGAAATGTGAGCCATAACAAGCAGACGAGTACCTCATATACCTGGCAATGTTCGGTAGTAAGTGGCCAGTTGGAAACGTCCCGTCCACAAATCCTTCATTACGCAGCGTGTTTAAGGCATTAGAAGTATTATACGCGCTCTTCTGGTAATACGATGCCAAGAGCAGCGATGACTGAGAATCATTTGTGGCTAGGCTGTAGAGGCTGGGTGCGTAAGACGTCGATCGGCGATGATGATGGCCGTTGCCGTGGGGGGATGGAGGTACGGGCCCAACAGGATATGGTTCACCTGGAGTTCGCGAAACTGTCTCCTGGGTCGAGTAGTCGGTGCGAAAGATGGTTGGTGAGGCCGGACGCAAGCCAGTCGTCGAGTTTCGAGAGTATGCGTCTGTGAGTGAAACAACAGAATCTCGTCGCCTTTCATGGATTGAGACGTAGCTGGCTCGTGATGACGGACGCGGGAATGGATCTGGTGTCTGGACTCGTCGAGCGGGGACATTACGCTGGGCTTTTTGTGGTTGAGTCCGACCAGCTGGCGGCTTCAGTTTATTTGATGACTCTGAGGTGCTGCTCCCAGTCCCTTTCCACTGTGGTCGTTGTTTGACAACAGAGCGACTGGGTTCATGATCAGGGCCTTCTTTATTCCACATATTGGACAGCGACTGGCCGCTGTCCTTCAAGACCTGCTTCAGACCAGGGCGCTTCTCGCTTTGTTTTCCAGTGCTGAGTGTTTCGGCCTTCTTTTTTGGCTGAGATCGTCTGCTCGAGTCCGCAGTTCGCTTCTTGGCTGAAGAGCTACGAGAGAGTGGTTCTATTGGTGGCGTTCTTTGCTTTTTCTGGTTTGCTGTTGTTTCTGGGCCGCCCGATTGAGATGGACGGAGTGGTTTGGGGGCTTCGAATGGACCATTGGTGTTGCTTGCGTGACTTGGAGAGCCAGCCGTGCTTGAAGGAGTCGAGCTTGACCGTTGAGACTCCTTCCCGTTCAAGCTCGTTATGTCGGAAAGGGATTTGGATGCCGGCGCAAGTCTCTTCAAAGGTTCAGCGGTCGGAACTGGGTCATCGTCCGTAACCTCAACAACTGCAGGGCCAGATTCCTCCTTCTCTCCTCGAAATGTCGCAGATCGAAACTTGTCCCTCTGAATCCTGTAAACAACCGTATAAGATGTATCATTGTCTGGGCCGAAACTCCATTGCCGATGGTTTCCTGCTGATGCTGATGCACTACGAGTCTCTACTATTTCAGCGCCTGGGGGAGTGGGAAGGGACAGCAGCTGGGGCCCCTTTACGTCGACAGTGATGGTTTGGACCGATGAAACGGAATTCGATATCGATGCGGTAGTTCCGGGCTCGAGATTCGCTGTAATATGACTCTTCAGTCTCTGCATAACAGCTTCGTCATCCTCCCCTGCCCCATATCGAATGCCTAGGTCGTTAGGATCGTGGTCGTTTCTGGGAGTAAGCTGACGTTCATTCTCTTCATCGCCGCGCACATCGATGCGTTCGCCATCGGTGAGGACCACAACATCCCAAATCACCTCTTCGTATGCGTGTCGTCGGGCCTCCTCGGACGCTTGACGCCGAGAAGCTCGTTGTAAATATGCCAATGCTCCGAGGGCAACCACCAAGTCTGAAACTCCAACTTTTTCTCCACCCACTCCTGTGGCCGGGTTATTGAATTCTCTTCGAACAAGGGTGATGATGCTCGCCACAGCCCGAGAAGAATCGGTAGAACCAAAGAGCTTATCGAGACTTCCCAACAGAAGCTGTGAAGCGTCGGATGCGGTCGATATCGTTGTGCCTGTTAATCGAAAGCCGGCCGACGTCCAAAAAACAATCTGGGTAACTGCGAAATGAAGACTTTCCAGGCTACGCTCCAAGATGGTTTCTGTTTCGGCGGCACCTAAATCTGACTGGGAAAGTGATACAGTATCGTGGGCAGCCGTGCTCAACACGGTTTCCACCAAGCTCCGTGCCAGTCCGAGGCTTGACAAGGTTGTGAATCTGGCGGCATCGAGACTATAACAGCCGACGAGAGATCCGATGCGGATAGCCAGCGAGGTTGACCGTGTAGCCAAGCTGACAGCATGAGCTATCGGACTGGGGAGGAGGGTGGGACCGGGGTATTGGCAGGTCACACCGGCAGAGGCCTCGACATCATGAGGCTTGCCTCTGGGCATAGCGAAAGTGCGACGTAGAATAGCTTGATGAAAGTAGATTGGGCATAGGAGTCGAGCGTATTATACGCACAGATGCGTGTACTAAAGTATTGCAAAGGAGAGGTGCGGATGGGGTCAAGTTGGAGAAGGAGAATAGAGACCAGACCAGGGACGGGCCCAGCATTAGACGGACACGTAGAACAGCCACAGTACTCTATAGGGCGGGACGTGGCAATATTTTAGGTGTGTTGAGTCGCGACGGACAAAGGGCCAACTAGAGGAGCCGTAATGTCCGTTGGGAATGAATGGTGAAAGGTGGGCTTGGGTTTGGGTCCGGCGTTTAACGTCGATGATGTGTTTTGGCTTCTGGCATTGAAGTCGTCGGGGCAGGTCACTCTGGTTCCTGGTGAGAAGTATCTTGGTCGTATTCCTACCAGGTGTTAGCAGGCTGCCCGGTACATAAAGGGTACTTGGTTTTCGGTGGAGCACTTGCATGTGATTGTCACATTGCCACCCTGCCTTGTCGCATGCTAAAGTTCCAGATGGCACTCTAGAGCGCGCCTCTTGACAAAGTCAACATCAACAATGGGCGCCACTTTTGTTCTAACCCTCTGCATATGGGGTTTCCGATTACATTTTCCTACTGCAGGCATCCGATGCATCTGTTTGATAGGCGTAGGTTCTCTGCTTGGATGTGACGGCGAATCGATCGACATGTGTACATGGGTCATGAAGCCAGCACTCTGACGTGGATGCAGACGCAAGAGAGAATCGACTCGAGCACGGAAACATGTGATACTCATGACAGTATATAACGGCCAAGAACAAGCACCTCCGGGCAAAACACTTGCCCCAAGTATTTTCATGCACATGTTCGTCCACAGATCACACTGCGTCAACTTCGCGCCATCATGTCTTCAAGCCTCCTCCAACAACCAGGGGTCTGTCATAAGTTCTTTAGCTGTCGGTCGCATCTTGGGGTCCCAAGCAAGGACTCTCCGCATAAATCGTAGAAACTTGGTCTTGTCTTTAAGCTTCGTCTCTGCTGCATCCAATGTCTTTTCAGATGGAACAGGAACAAAGCCTCCCCAATTCCCTGCATGTGCGGATGCAGAATTAGTCACCAGCCTAACAATCAACAAGATACAAGTGGACGTACCGTTCTCGTCCCAGTATTCAAGTGCTCGCTCATGGTGCCGGTTCAACAGGTCTCTGGGAGGTGGGCCGAGGGCGGCTATAAGTTCGGAGAAATGCACGCCATCTGAAAAACTGCCGTCGGCGTTTCTGGCACTGAACAGTGTTTTACCCTCCAAGAGATCCCATGCCTGGGACCGGTGAGCATGAATGCCTGATAAAACTCCTAGGGACGCATGCGAAGACATACCGTGAGCCCAACGCTCCAGATATCGACAGTATAGCTCCATTGAATCCATAATAGCGTCTCCGGAGCTCTATACATAATGGGCATGATGTCTCCTGCATGAGGCCCAGGCCCAAGTCTGGCTTCTCCAAAGTCGGATAGAAGGAGTGGCCCAACTTTCGGCTTCATGAGTCGAGAGGAGTAGATGGTCCGATCGAAAACCTTCTTTCGCGGAACTGGATTAGTCATTTCAGTATCCTCTAGCGTCCGAAATAAAGAGTCGTCCTCGATACCGAGAAGTAGGTTACCGGGATGGATATCTGTCGAATTTATTTCATATTTAGCATGGGAAATATCGATGCAGATACGCCCGAGTGACAGAATGTGTTAAGACGATGGTGAAATGGCTGCGTACCAGTGTGCACGACCTGGACTTTGCTATGTAAGAAATCAAGAGCCTGTAGAAGCTCCTTGATAGCGCTCTTGACGAAGTTTTCATTAAATCCACGACCTTGCATGAAAACAGTGTCCATATCACGCAAACTCATTTGAGAGGCTTGAAGCACTAGGACGATGTGGGTGCCAAAAGGACTGTTGACCTTGAATGAGCCAAGTAGCTTCCTTATGTTTTCTGCACCAATATGCCGGCTTGGCGAGGCCTTGCTTAGTTTTTCATAAAAGGGCAATTCCCGGTGTTGAGCTGAGTTGTGTATATAAATTTTGAGGGCGACATATTGATGCTCTCTGTGCTGCAATGTCAATCGCGCGTCGCGTTTCGCACTCCTCGCGCGCCTCACTCACTGGAGATCACGAGCTAGCCATATGGTAGAGGACGACCCATAGCCCAACTTTGCTACTGTCTGGAACCTGTCATTGAAAATTTCGCCAAGTCGGACTGGGTAGAAGTGATGATAATCATATTCTGGTAGCCCTTCCTCTTCCAGGAGCTGTGTATCATCAATCATGTCAAACCCGTGAGATGGGAGCGTGCGTGGCTCTGACCGACGACGCGCTGTAGTCGCCCAGCCAAGCTTGTGGGCTAGAGAACTGGCTCTTCGTGAAGCATTGAGTGAAACACAGAGTTGCGGGCACAAGGGCAATAATGCAGGTGAGCGACTTGGTGTTGGAGAAAGCAGGCGTGCTATTAATGGCCGTTGCATATCTGCAATCAGGTACTCCGTATCGAGCTGCCAATACAGGTCTGGTTGTACAATGAGGTGGATGCGGGCTTGGAGTTCGAACTTCGAACAGGCGCCATGGCTCAGCATCCAGAATGTTGAAATGTTTTGGCCCCGGACACCAGGCACAGAATTGACATCAATGGAGCTTAACGGAGCACTGGGCGATTGGTTGCCGGCCATTGGACCAAATTACTGGATCTACGGAGGGCCCGTTCAGTGTTTCCAATAATAAACACGAGGCTCCGGCTTATGTTGCCACAACAGCGCCTGTCCAAGGTTCAAGGACCAGTCACCGCCACGCCAGCAATCGTGAATAAGGGCCATGCCGGTTTGTCAATTATCGTTGGTTTAATTGTGTCACATTTTCCGTAGCCGGTGAACAATTCCTCGGCATTCTGTCAATGTCGAGTGCGGGAAGCCGCAAACGGCTCGGGCTCAAGACAATGGAACGGTTGGCAGGATTTTGAATGCGCCAAGAAAGCACTTGAGACCTCCAGAGCCCATGCCCCTGAAGAGCGCCCCTGCGATCTGCTTCCAGGGACCTGCCTACAGGGCTGGGCAGGCGCAGTGGGCTTCTTTCCACAGCCAAAACAATAACTTGGGCCAATCAGGCGCCTCCTCTCCCCCACAAGGGCGCTCCTTGGCCGCTGACCAGAAGCGCCAGCACAGACCAGTCGGCCAGATGCGTCCGTCTCAGCCTCACCGACCTTGGCCAGCCTGACCCTGGATGCCCCAATCTTGTTGTCTTGGATGCTATCGGCTGTGATGCTTATCGACTTGCGCCTCACCATCCCATCCAATCCCAACCCCATCTGCCGTGACTTTTCTCTCCTGCCCTCCCCTTTTTTTCTCCCCCAGCTAGACTTCGACTCTCGTTTCTTCATTTCCATCCATCCCGACCGCTCTACCCTCGCTCGCTGAACTACATTGCTGTCTCTTGCTACCCCGATTGATACGAATTAGCCTTTGTCCCCGTTTGTACGCCACCAAACCCAACACCCCACGCCAACGTTCCTCAAGTCCCTATGCCTCATCCAACCATCGAAATTACCATGGCACCCGAAGAGGGTCTCTTCTCGTCGAAGCTCATCTCTTCCGAGGTATCTGAAAAGCTGCCTGAAGGCTACCAGCTGCGGGCCCTGCGACCGAGCGACTTTGACACCGGCTTCCTGGAATGTCTGCGGGTGCTGACGACGGTCGGCGACATCACCAGGGAGGCGTTTGAGGAGCAGTTCAAGCAGATGAATCAGCAGGGGGGCTACTACATCGTTGTCATTGAGGACACCAACAGAACTGAGAAGGAGAAATCGGTCGTTGCTACGGGTGCTCTGATAGTTGAGCGCAAGTTGTACGTCCCCAATCTCCTACCACGCTGGAACACTCGCGATGGAACCCCAAGTCAACAACATCTGGAGAGGAGAACCGATTTGCTGACTATTTACATAGCATCCACAGCCTCGGTGCGGTCGGCCACATTGAAGACATCGCCGTCGCCAAAGACCAGCAGGGCAAGAAACTCGGCCTCCGACTCATTCAAGCCCTCGACTACGTCGCCGAAAAGGTCGGCTGCTACAAGTGCATTCTCGACTGCAGCGATGCCAACGAGGGTTTCTACGTCAAGTGCGGCTTCAGACGGGCCGGCTTGCAGATGGCACACTACTACCAGGGAAATAAGAGTAAATCCCAATAAGCCTCGTCGTTTTTTTTTTTATTTGGCCGCCGCAACATCTCTCCCGAAATGCCTCTTTTACCCCGACAGCCCTCGACCACCTTACTCCCGACCGATTTCATCATGCAAGTCTTGATGCTCGCAAGCCTGTAATGGCACAGCATGTACAAGACTGCACTTGTCTTTGCGTTTACTAGCACATGAGCCTGATGGCCACAATTGTCGATTTGAATACAGCCCGTCCTTGCTATATATGATTTTTTGGTTTTGAATATTTGTTTTTTTCTCCTCTGTACATGGGGCTGATGCGTTGTTCTCGCGGCGCAGGTAGCAAAATCTAGAGCTGGCATGGAACAAGGTTTGGGCGCACACTGGCAGTGCCGCAAATGATTGATGGGTAGACGGCATGGAATGTATAGACGTCAGACGTACTCGGTGCCGCATTAATGCAGGGATCGATTCGAGCTTGGATTGTGCTATGCGTGACACGGGCGAATGGGTATTTATCCGCCCGTTGTGAATGAGTATCGTAACCAAGGCTGTCGAGTCATGTCGCGCCCCGCCCAGAGCATTGTAACACGGTGAGCATGTCTTCACTGCTCTGCCATGTTGCCATGCTCCAAATTGCAATAGAGGTCCAAGTTGGTGCGAAGGCGCCCTCGGCGTGCAAACATTCCAAATGCCCAAGGCGAGTGGATTTCAGCCCGGCAAGCGAGCTGTTTTGGCCTAGCCTCTCTCGTCAGACGGCATCAGACAGACGTGCTCCAGTCCGCAATGCGATTGAAGCAGATGACTGCTCCCCTAAGCGATGCATCTGCGGGACGACGTCCTATTCTCCATCTGCATGCAAGACTACGTCTGGTACGTACAACAGCACTGTACTTCCCGGTTCTACACACTCTCCACAACCTGACCGCGAGTAATATTCCACAGTGCATATACGACAGAATATATTTACACATGAAGAAGTATACACTAATATTGATACCACAACATATTACAGTCTATAGCGTGATAGCCCCGTACGCAACCCAGTAAAATACATATACTTTTCGCCTCCCACTGTATCCCGCCCGACGACGGTAAAGAAAGACGTTCGAAACGTCTGGTCGCCGCCCGCATCCCGTCCACACCAAACCACATCCGGCGCCTCACGACGGAAACCCTCAAACCCTCCAACCCTCCCAGCGTTCCCCAGACGCCCGGTCTCACGACTCGGTCCAGCCGCAATTTCGTCACTCGCCAGCCACGGCACCTATTCCGTCACTATTCACAGCGTATTGCCTCGTCCCCGGGCGCACTCCCCCGCCCCCC